AAGGTTTTACTCTAGACATATTACCATCATTATCCCTAAAACAGTTTTATCTACCTAGACCCATTCAAGAAATCCAGATTGTGAGTGAGAAGAGAGATCTATACAAGAATATTAGTCAGATTTACCCATACAACTAACTGCATCAACTGTCAAAAGATGCGTACAAAGCCGCTTCAACCACAGTAGTTCAAATCTGCACGAGAAGCTGTTTGATTGTCTGAGATTGCCATGTGCAGTAATGAGTAATTAGTTGCAACGTCATGCCGGCATGCCACATGCAAGCTCATATTCAACCAGTAAAATTGCCATTTTACCATTCTGGGCGCCAGAGATTTTGGTACTGTGGGCTCAATTCGGCTGCACATTCTTGGAAACCAAAATCAGTAAAGAATATCTTAGGATCGTCGCATTAGGGCATCCTTTGAAGAATTTTCCATGTAATTCCTTGGTTCAACGCCTCTGCTAGACACCATGAGACTATGGACGAACTATCTGAATATGCAGTAGCAATGGTGAGACCGGTTTTTTCACTTGATATAGAGAAGAAATTAGAGAAGAAAAAGCCCCGTGCAGAGCAAAGGGTGTGGGCGAGATGCGAATACATTCTATCCATGTATCAGTACATTCGCCACTTGAACAAGCTGGACGCTCTTGTGTGACGAAGGCGAGAAGCCATATGTCACTAAAGATAAGCCATCACATGTCGTGATACAGTTCAATTTGGTATAACTTTCCAGCAATTCAAAGACTCGGTGGATACTACATAATCCTTATGTCTTTCCATCGTGGCAATAAACATCCAAGAAACTCGCCCAAATGACTCTTGAAATGGATGGAGAGACCAACTTTGCCTATAATGGTCTGAAGACAACTCAGACAACTCACATGGAGACTGTCAAATCGCTCATACATGATTTTCTCGAAGACATCCGGTTCGATCGCAGCCTACCTTTTTCAAGGACCATGATCTTGAAGCGGCAGTCTGGACCTAATTCAAGAGCCTCAACTTGGGCCAGAAGTTAGAAAGCTCCGTGCACGGCGTCTTGAAGTTATCCGCAACCCTAACACATCAGGCATACACGCAGTTACCATTCGAAAACAAAGTTCTCTGCACTATACAGAACCTGTACATGTTCCTTGTGGACGACATTGCCGACGATTTCATGGAAGAATTACGCTGCTTTGGCCAAAAGTAACCCCCACCTCTTTGTTCAGCCCCCAACAACTAATTCGTACAGCTTCATCCTCAACAATCCCCACAACCACTCTCTACTTCGCAGCTACGACACCCACCTCCGCTACCTCTCCCGCTACTACGGCCCCCAGCGCCACTCTACCATCGTCAAGTCTAACCTCGACTACGTTAACGGCCGTGTCATCGATCATGAGATGGAGAAAACACAGTTCAAATTTCCGCCGGGCTCAAAGCTCATGCCTATGTTCCTACGCACCAAGGTCGGCGTCTCCGAGACCATGGTGTCCATGCTGTTTCCCGAAGCCGCATACCCGGAGGAGGAGCACCTCATGCGGTACTTGCCTGTCGTGGCCGAGCTGATGATGTTTGCCGACATGACGAATGACATCCTGTCTTACTACAAGGAGTTTGTGCTGCGTGACGAGAAGACAAACTTTGTAGCCAACTTCGCCGAGACGCATGATATGTCGCAATTTGATGTGTTGCGGAATTTGGTGAGCTATGCTCCGCAGGTTGGTTCTCTTTCCACTTTCGTGTTGCATTCGGGTATTAAGGCAGTATGGTACTAATTGGCATGAATTGTGGGTAGCTCATCAAGTCGGTGTTTTGCATGCTTCAAGACCAGCAGGACTTGCTGGATACTGTGCAGACTTATTTCAATGGCTATATCATGATGTTCACGGCCCACCGGCGGTATCATTTAGTGGAATTATTTGAGGACGAGGGTTATCTGATGCCTTATGACGAAGATTCATAGATTAGTCGTTTCTTGCTGCTATAGGTAATCACCTGATGAGATTCTATTCTTCAGGTTCGAGTTCTCACATGCGCATAATCCTTGGCATCATAAGCTATAGTGAGACATCACCCAATCCTAGACCCTAGATTGAGGAAATAAGTACAGAGGCCATTTCCTTTGGTTGATCTGGATAGTCAGCGTGTGGATACTCTGATAACCAGTTTCAAGCCCGTCATACCAACTGATTGAGCTGAAGCCATAATCAAGCGTGTAACGTTGAAGTGGCAATACTACTTAAATAGAGCGCCAGTCAGCGGAATCAAGCCTAATGTTGCAATACCATGCGCAGGCTTAGCAACCATTGTAGAAATCACAGGGCACTCACATGTTCGCTAACACCACCATAAGCGAACAAAAGTCGCCTCGATAGAATACATAAGCTTTCAAGAGATACCATCTTTTTCGGTGTCCCAAGCTAAAGTTTTCACGGATCACTCCATTGGGAACAAGGTTGCTTTCACGTTCTTGGCAGGGATGTCCCAATCTCTGTCATCACTAACAATTCTTTCAGCATGTGCATTCGGGGCAGCTAGTTTATGGATGAAGAGCAATGTTTTAAAGCCATGTCGAGGGTTTATGGAAGGTACTCAGGATGTACAGTTCGGAAGTAAGGAAGACAAGGTAGAAAAGGATTGGAGAATATTGTAAGAAAAGCCGAGGATACCTGTCCAAAATTTGTTTACTTTTTAAAGTGTATCTTCACTGTCTTGCTTGGTAAATTTTCTTGGCGCAATGCTTGACAAGATATTGAGAGATTCGAAGAATTTTGGGGAGTGTTGAATGCTGTTAGGAGCTCGAGCGGTGTCACGAGGCTCTCAAGCCCTAACTAGTTGCGTTTAACTTGTATTAGAAGAGCTCCATCGAGCATTTCCCATTAACTTTTCATCCTGAACATGGGATATACATCCCTGAGTATCATAGTACAAAGCAGCAAAGCCCAAAACAGTATATACAGTCCACACCACCCATGCCACTAATATCATCGAACCCCAACAGGCAACTCCACCGGCGATTTATCCCCCATCTCTACTGGTATATTTCGACCATCTAATTCTCGTGGTGTCACGCCGTCTAGCTCGTGCGGTCTAGTTGATTCTTTGGCCGGTTCATCGTGCAGCTCGCTCGGTTGTGTGTTGTCGAGTTTGGAGTACATCGGGGACGGCGTGCGCCCGTCTTCCTGGAAGGATGATGGCGGCTGCGCGCGTGCGCGAGCCTGTCGTCGCCGCCGGAGAAAGAACCAAATGAGTCCGATAATGATAGCCACGCCAGCTACGGCTCCAATGACGGCGCCTGCAATCGCACCGCCGCTGATCTGGGACGAAGCAGGGTCATCTCTTACTATTGATCCACAGATATCAGCATCAACTGTGGAGGAAAAGGAAACGACATGGATGGCAGCGATGGAAAAATGAACAAGAGAACACGGCTATTGTGAATATTGTAAGAGGAAATGGGTGGAAGAAATTCAACATACCCTGTCCCACAGGCCCCAAGATCATATACTCCGGGTTACCCGGCTCTCCACACCCAAAGCCGTCACTATCCGTCTTGGGGTTCCAGAACGCTTTCTGACCCTTCTCGCAGCAAAAGTATGTCTTATGGTGTCTGAACATGTTCAAGGTCTCATTGCCGCAATGCGGTCGTTTCTTAAGCATGTTGGAGCAGTTGCCCGGGTCGGGGCAACAAATGCTATTTTTCCACTTGCTATCCTTGCTAGGACATTTGGTGCCACTTGGGCAGCAGCCGGAGAAGCCGCCCCAGGTTTCGCCGCAGGATTCTTCTTCGCTAGCGAGGCACGAGCCATTGCGGCGGAGAGCGTAGCCGGCAGGGGAGTCGAATTTGGCTTTGTAGGCCATCCTCTTGGCTGTGGCTGTTTTTCTTCCCCCTTTTCCAGTAGTGACAGACGTCCTTTTCTGGTAGAGACAGAACCCGCGGGCCGGGGGGAAGGAAGGGATATAGGATGGGTAGGTCAGGCGGGGTACAGTGTGGAGAGAGTCAAAAACAAACATCAGCCCGGGGGATAAGATCGCAGAAGGATAGCCATTCTTAAAACATCGCGCGAATGGGGGGATCGGCGCACTCGATCTAAGGTGTCGGGCTTGATTATGACGATCCTTTCTTGACTAGTTGAAGGATTGGATGCCTTAGCTGGCACTGCCTTATAATGTATTATTTTTAACTTCCTCTAAACTCTTTAGTTTGGAGCGCGATTGGGGGATGTTTTCTAGTGGTTTGCTGGGTCTCTCTGCAATTAGGTAACTGGTTACCCAGTAGCATCCATAATATATGAGGTGCATATTAAGAGTACGTAAAATCGACAAAATACACCGAGTTATGCGACCTGCTGGCGCCAAGCGTCTAAGCCATGGATATGAAATTGACATGTGCTAGTATTAGTAGAAACAGGACGTCACTATGGAGAACACCGTGGATCGATCGTATTCGCGTGGTCGGATACCCAGCCTAAAAACCACCATGTAGTTAAAGGGTTTAGCACGGTATAGTACAAATATCCGAGATTTCATCAGAAAGGTAATGATCATAGCTAGTTTAACATGTTGACTGACTATTCTACCATGGAGATCTCTTGATGACCTATTCTGTGAAATCTTGTCGCTATTTTTTTTAGGTTAATTGATATCGCTCTTTGCTATATTTGATCATTGTATCAAGGCTCTCCACCAATGAGAGCTACTCGCATTATAAGATTATATGTGGATATACGAAGTCTTTATCTGGAGTATTAATCCATAGCCTCTAGCCAAAATATATATCACAAACACCGTCACACTCTTCAGCCACTTCTACTTGAAAACAGACCCTAAAACAGAGAGGAATTTTAAGTATAGAGTTATTAAATATTCTCTACCATATAAAAAAGCCCCGGACCGTTAATAATGTGGGAAATATAGATATACGAGTTGCTGCGCTGAGGAAGTTTGAGCAAGCAATCTTTGCGTTAAGCGTCAGTCATGTAACAAACCTACGCTAAACTTACCATCAATTGGCAAGGTGGGAGAGCGGTTAATCCGTAAGACTAGAAATCTTATCCCTTCGGGGTCGTCAGTTCGAATCTGGCCCTTGTCGATTACTTTTTTGTTTTTTATTTATCTTTTTTGCCTTACCGAAATGACACAAGATCTACGTTTTCCAGGCCTGGCAGACTTATCACTTGTGTAAAAACAATGTGGAATTATTTTTCTCATTGTTATCCCGCCTGCATAATGTAAAATAATGATCCTATCCACACAATCTGCACCATAGAACAGTTACAGAGTGCCTCGCGAATTAAATAATTCAAATGACGCCAGAAGGAAAAAAAAGAAAAAAAAGCAAAAAGTAAAGAAGAAAGAAGAAAAGCGCCCTAGAATTAAATCACGTCCCTTGTCTTCTTATATGCACGATTATATAGATCCAAGTACACCCCCAACGTGCAATCGCACAAAATCAACCCAGTATATTCCCATCGCCTAGTCTCCATCGCAGTATCGATACTGCCAACAACATTGCATATTGAAACCCACGAACCTCCTCCTACTACAACTTTCATTTGAAAACCACTATGTATGATATACCCTACTTCCAATCGTAGCCCTGACCCAACCATTCGGTACCCTTAAGACAAGGGTGGTGAAGCCGACCCACAGGCCTGGAACAAATCAAACCAACCAAGGTTTTACCGAGACAATCAAACCCAGGCTAATGTAGTCAAAAGTGGAACAAAAATCCATCTCCGGCAACATGGGAGAGTGGTTAATCCGTAAGACTAGAAATCTTATCCCTTCGGGGTCGTCAGTTCGAATCTGGCTGTTGTCGTTGCTTTTTTGTTTCGTTTCACCTGGTTTATCACCAGGGAATGATTTTTTTGTGTTGTTGGTGGGTGTGGGTCTTATAAATGTCTATTCTGTTCCTGGTAGAAGGTATGGAAGGGGGAAGATGGAATAGTCATGCAAGCACTAGTTATGTAAATCTTGAAGTATATTAGATTCATCATCATTATCGTAGCTCTATCTATATCTATATTTAAAGCTTCCCCTTCTGAAGCTCCACCGGAGGCGCACAGCAAGGCGCCGCCTCGGGGTGCAACGTAGACTGGTTGAAGATCTGCGACGACTGCGGGACATCGAGGGCAGGGTTTTTGGTGAAGAAGCCATCCGGCCGGAGCATGACGCTGACGCGCTCCATGGGCATAACGGGGAAGTCTTCGACGCGGGGGTTGTGGGTGAGTCCGAAGGCTGTATTTCAATTAGCACTCTGATTGATTCATGGATTTAGGTGAAAGCGAGATAAGGAGGGAATCATACTGTGCCATAAGACAACGTCGTCGTTTTCGATAGGATCGTTGCGAGCAGCCCACTTTTCCACGCCCTGGCTCTCCTGGCTCTGATTGGTGAATTCTCCAGCCGCGAAGAGCTCGTCGTCGTGGTACTTGGTGACCCAAATGGGCTTGGTCGCGAACTGGGCGCGCTTGAGGCCGAAGGAGCGCGGGCTGGCGAGGAGCATTTGGCTGGGGGAGGTTTGAAGTTTGTATGAGATGGGTTTGTAGGTGATGGGGTTGATCTTGGAGTCGTTACGGATCTTGAACACGCGGTGGCGTTCGACGCTGGTGTTGGCTGTGCCGCTTGTGCCGAGGACGGTCTGTTCGGTGGTGTAGCCGACTAGGTAGGGGTTGTTCTCGTCTTCGGGCATGGGGACGCTGTCCTCGTAGTAGACTGTGTTGTTGTGGCCGTCGATGGCGGGGTCCATGCGGAAGGAGAACATGTGTTGGTGGTAAGGGGCCATGACACCGGGCCCGACGTTGGTGCCCCAGGGGACTGTTGTGCCGAACTTGTGGTTGTCGAAGGGGACTGTGGAGAGGATGCCCGTGGCGCGGATTTCCAGCTCGATGTTGGCCGCTTGGTCGAAGATGAATGCGAAGATGTATTCGTAGTTGGAGACGGTGCAGATCATTTGGACGACGAGTTGGCGATTGCGCACTACTGTTGCCTCGCCGGAGCGGTAGTTGGTGTGCTTGTGCTGCAGGCCGTTGTCCTGTTCGTGGAGACAGATGACGTTCTTGAGCAGCACGGGGTTGCCTTGGGCGTCGGCGCGGTATCCATCAAAATACTTTATGTGACCGAGACAGTCGCAGCCCAAAGCCAGCTGGTTGGCTGTCAAACCGAACCCGACGTCACCGACGTCGAAGGCTTGCTTGCGGTGGAAGGGGGCGCGGGGGTCTCCGTACGGCACGGTCATCTCCGACACAGATAGCCGGTAGAACACATTGCGATTGTCGTAGGTCAGATTGTGAATGACCATCCCCTCCCGACTGTTGAAGCCCACACGGAAGCGCCACTTCTGCCACTGCACCACATTTCCCTTGACATCGAACGACGGCCCCTGCGGCTGTTGCACAATATAAGGCTTGAGATCCGTGCGCAGCGGCGTGTCCAGCAAGTCGTGTGCGTACTGGACCGTTTCGACCGGCTTCCACGGCTGTGTCTCGGTGGTCGTGCCATCCGGCCCGCTAGGAAGGTAGTCCATGCGGACGAGCTCCTTGGTGACACCATCGAACACCGGAGAGAACTTACACGGTGTCGAATAGTGGTTGTTCTGGGGGTGATCCTTGGCGATGACGTACATATAGCACTGCCATAACCGACGGGTCTCATTTGCGTTGTCGGTGCCATAGATCCAGGGATCGTTGCAGATGGTAACGCCAGCGGGAAGCTGCAGCTTGGCAACCTCCGCCTGCACCGCCGGGTGGCTCAAGCAGAGCTGTTCGATCTCGACGATCTCGTCGACATCGGCAGGACCCTGTGGATCGTCAGTCGGAATGCTTGTCTATCAGCGTAGTAGGAACATACCTGGACCCCCTTGGGGAGCTCCTTTGCGTAGATAATCGACCGAGTATCTGCGTTCAAGAGGGCCTTATGGAAAGCCCCGGTGTCGAGGCGGTGAAAGAGGACCTGTAGCAGGCGCGTGGGCTTGCGAGGCAACGGCTCGCCCAATCGCTCCGCCTCGACGTAGGGGACCACCTCCTTCTTGATCGGTTCCCGAGTGTCAATTGTCTTATATCGCAGAGGCACACCGGGGAACGAGGCCTGCAGCAGCTTCACAGCCAGCTGGATCTCCCCCGGAGTAATGGGGTCAAAGGGATGCAGGGTGGTCATGCTGGTCGAATCCTGTCAGAATCTATGACTCTTTTCAATGGGATAGAAATTGATAGTTGAGAGCTGTCTGACGGAAAGAGGGGGGAGGGGAAGTTCCACTTTATATACATGAGGTGCGGAGGGGAGCCGACTTTGGAAAGTTGGGGTAAACGCAACATCTCGTCCATCTACGCGATATGATCGTGACTCGGCGGTTCTACTTCCACGATAAGCAAGGATATCCGGTTTGCCACATGCCCATTGGCTCGGGGCCCCGTGCCTCATCGTCCCAGCGTATCTGATTCCCAATCCGGTAATTATGGCGCCCAATCTATCACGTGAAGGATGAAGGAATGCTGACTCATGACATTAAACTGGTTCTGGTTAGTATACACGTGATGATAAGACACATCTACACCGGAGTACAAAGCAAGGTCTGGTTCAACGCCTGCGTCATCCATCGGAATCTCACGATACCATCACATAGGTGACCCGGAGGATCCCCAGAGCGGAAAGTCCCGTCAGAATGCCCGCACCTGCGCGGTCCGCAAGGGTAATGGGTTTCGGCTTCTCTCTCCCGTTAGAGTCTTTCCCCGTCCCAGCACCGCTGTTCCCCTTGCTGGTCCCTCCCGTCTCGTCTGTGAGCGGTCCTCGGGTGGTCTCAAGCAAATTGGCGAGGATCACCTCTAGAGCAGACATCTGCTGTCCGACCCCCGTGGTGCCGTCGTAAGCGCCCGTGGTCCACTGCATGCCGCAGTAGCTTCCGCTCTTCCCACCCACGCACTGTGCAGCGGCTGCCTTGGCGGATGGGCGGAGACGGGCCAGAATGGTCTCGTACGTAAACGGGGCGAGCTTGGCCGTGTCCCCCATCCACCGCGCCAGGTAGGCCTTGAAAGAGAACTGGTCGGTCTGGCAGGTGCCGGCCAGCTCGCAGGCGGACTCGTATAGCACGTTGAGGGAGGAGTCGTTGGTGGAGAGGAAGACCTGTTGCCCTTCGAGTAGACCCTCGATGCGGGCCTTCCACCGCAGGCCTCGTTGGTCTGTTTTGATTAGCCGTGGCTCGTGGGATCGCTGATGTCCGCCACTTACATAGTTCCACATGTGCGCCGCCCCGTGCAAGAACACGCCGTTATTGTACGTCCACTCGATGTGGTTCAGATCACTGCAGTTGTTTGTATCGCTCGTCCCGTCAAACACATGGTAGTCGCGCCCAACGAGCCCTATAGCCCGCGACCAGTCCCACGCCTTCTCAGCCCACTCGGCGTAGGTCTCGTTGTTGGTGTATCGCGCCAGGCGCGCCGCCATGTTGAAGAAGCAGCCGTTGGAGATAGCGTTGCGGTAGTTGTACCCGCCGTTGAACGAATAGATCTGCCACTTCAGCCCCCCGCCGCATTGCTCGTTGTTCCACCGCGCGGCTTGTTGGTTGAACACGGCTTGCACTATGGCGAGCCATGACGGCTTATCGTCGGGTGGGTTGGTGAAGTTACTCTCGGTGGCGCGCATCGCTGTCAAGGCCCAGAAAGCTTGATCGTCGTTGCCTTCGGTGCGGGTCTGGTTGGTCGGCATGAAATCGCCTTCGGAGCCAGCTTGATGGAGTAGGGCTTGAATGATGATGTTGTTGTAGGTCGTGTCGCCTGTGTAAGACCAGTAGTTGACCAGCGTGCCGAAGAAGGCACCAGCTTCCCACCAGTAATACGGGGAGGGGAGATTACCGGGGACATCGCCGGTGTTGTTGCCCGTGTAGAAACTGACTAGGTCCCAGGCCAACTTACTCGCGACCTGCTTGGTGTTTTCTGAGGGGTTTAGTTTCTGTAATGGGGTAGCCTAGAGCTCCGCGACTGACCTGTGTCATCCAGATTCAACTTGATTGCCTGGACTGAGCGGCAGGAGAAGCTGACCAGACATAGTGGCAGACATAGTAAGATGGGGTACCGCATTCCGCTGATTTGTGGGACA